AAATGCAACATCATAACTCGTAAATGAGACTAAACATCCAAAGATCCAGCAATAAAATGAATTACTTCCTTCTAGAGTTTCTTCTTCCACATTTGCCACCCCTCAAAGCAAAAACTTTTTCACCACTCCAATTGTCCTTCAAGATAAACATAGCTTGAACATCATCTTCATACTGAAGGAAGTCTTCCCCAACACCCTCGCAAGGTGTGGATACATACTCCTTAATCTAGTCATTTTGCTCCACACTTGCTAATTGAACTTTCAAGACCTCATTAAAAATTAGTGAAACAGGGACATCAACCAAAAGCTTATTTGACGATTCCAACACAATCGCAGGAGAATCCATACATCCAGCAGCTAAACTCAATGGTTTCACAACCAAAGCACCCACCAAAGGGCTCAACTCTGGATCAACAACACAGTCCCCTGACCCGTGTGGGACAATAACATAAAAACCCATAGGTACACTATCATAGGCATCAACATCAAAATCAGGATTGACAATAGGACTTGCTTCCAAATTAACTAAGTAATTGTTAGGCTCAGAAGCCTCAGCCACAATCTCATTAATACCACAAGAAAGAGCCATCGATATCCCTTCACCAAGAGCAGCATCCTCAGTGTTGCCATTGCTCGTTTCTATAGCTAAAGCATCATCCATACCAATTTCCCCATTAACAACAACCTCAATAGGATTAACTGGAGCTACGATGGGAATAGAATTTTCCACAGGACCGGCAATAACCACATTTTCAACCACGGCATTAACCTTCTCACTAGAATTACAATTAAAACCCAAATCAAACACCATATTTGAAGAACGACATTCACCAGGCAAATGACCAATTGATTAACATTGCACACAAAAATGGGGAAACTCCTCCATGACAACATGCTGAACATAACTAAACTTTTCAGGACCAATCCAAACTTTATCATAATTTTTTTTTGTAATGTCAAGCTCAACTAACACACACGTACAGAGGGACGGGAGCCGTCACATGATCCTCCTTTAGGGGATGACCAAATAAAGAACCTAATCCATGAAGAATACATGACAAAAAAAAAAAAGGTGGTCGCAAGTTGGGGAATGAAGTCCAGATCGATATGACTGGGGACTCCACACCAATATCAAGAAGAGGAGACCATTTGACCACCTTCATATAACAATTTCTAACAAAATAAGATCTATGAGAGAAAATTCTGCTATAGTTGAGGTCATTCACCAGCTTAATCAACACATGACAATGGTCCAACAATGTTACAAAAAATTCACCATTGAGCTTAAGAGCAAAGAAAAACTTCTGAAAAGTGTCAAGACTCAGACGCCTGGAAGGAAAGAAACAAACCAAAGAAAACTTCAAAGGAGCCGCAAGGGTGAGCACCTCATCATCTAAAATTCAAAGAGACAGCAAACCACGAAAAATAGATGGCTTGAGATCAGAAAAACATGCCTCAAAAGAAATACCAGACAAAGCATATGCAAATGAGCAAGATTTTAGTTGACCCCCCAAAAAAATCAGGATCGGCCAAAGTTGACTACTGGATAGAAGGGCCAACGAACTATTAAAAATGAAGGATTCAACAAAATAGAGGAGACGAGACCTCCCTAAACAAACATGAACGACGCAAGATGCTTCACAAACGAACAACGCCAGCGAAATGCTAGCAGCAACGGAGAAAAACACACCGAAGAAGCTGCTAGGGCAAAGCTCTAGTGGAGTGGGCATGATGAATCTAGCAGCTTCAGAAAAACAAGTCGCTGTGCAAAGGCCGATATGACCATCATTGGACCATCGCTCATACATTACTCATATTCTAATAAGATGTTGCATTAAAAGGGACAAAGTTTTTCTTAAAAAGTATATTGAGATGGATTTGAATTTGTTTGTACAATGCAAGATTGATAAATAAAGATATTCACATTATTTAATATTTCCCTAATTTATTGTCTTGTGAAGAGCCTCTATAAAACTCCCTTGTAGCAAGAAGAATTTAAAATTTAGAAAGCATGACATTTTCAAATTATTTAAGGAAAGCCAACAAATTCATTTTATGTTCTGGATGATGAGTATGATAACAAGAATGAAGCACAAATTAACTGTTGGGATTCACATATTTTGTAATTGTAATTTTGAGTTATAAGAATGTTTTTAAGTAATAAGATATGTCGATGAAAATATCTTATTTTTAATTAGAGTTCAGTGTATTATTTCAACTTCGATTCTTCTTGAAATATACTTTTTAATTGATTTAGATGGAATAAGAAGCATTCATATAAAGATGGATGGTCAGATTTGATATGAGTTTTAATTAATATGAGTTTTACCAAATTTAATTTCAGATAGTTAATGTGAACAATTTCATGTATAATAATAACTGAGAATATAAAAGGTTATACTTGTATAGATTATTAATTATTTATAATACAATGAAGGGATAATATAATTTTAGAAGAAACAAATGGATGACCAAGATTGAGTTTCATAATTTTATGTATAATAACAATTGAGAATACAAAGGGTTCCCTTAGGATTTTAATTTCTAAAATAGAATACGAAGCATGCATTCATATAAAGATGGATGGTTAGATTTGATATGAGCACTAAATTAATTAATGTGAGTTTTACTAATTTTAATTTTATATAGTTAATGTGAGGAGTTTCACAATTTCATGTATAATAATAAATAAGAATACAAAGGGTTACACTTATATATAGATTTATTAATTATTTATAATATAATAAAGGTACAAGATAATTTTAGAAGAGATAAAATGGATGTCCAAAATTTAATATGGAAGGAAATTCAAACGACTTTTATAATAGTATTATAGATATACTTTTGATAAACTAAAATTAATGTCAAATTTATTAAGAAAGATGATTTGACCTAATGTTAAATGGTTAGAATTAATTCAAAATGATTTGCAAAGAATAATTTTAACATATCGATGGCACTCAATTGAAACAAACATAGAAATAATAATTTAGTACGCCCCTTCCAAATAATTGAGATAGGGGTAATGATTCTTTAACATACACATGTAAAACGTGCTCACCTGAGATCAGTAAGTAAACATATACACTAAAATAAGGTAATGTTTAGCTTGATTCACAATCTTATTAAAAAGATGGTCAGAGTGAATGTGATGGATTGCATAACTTATTATTATTATTTTTTTACGTTTGTTGTGATATAATAGGTTTTCAATGCAGAAAAACGTATGCTAAATTTATGTTGTGGGACATGCCCTATAAAATCAAAGAATTACAAAAAGTTCAAAAATCATTTTTCATATATACTTTGTAGTATTATAACCCTCATAAGTCTATCAACATGACCAGTCTACACTGAAAGAAAGTTTTAGAAATATGATTTTTTTCATATCTACTAGTTACAATGTATATATAAATTTATATGTTTAGTTAGTTCAATGTTGTGCTCATGCACTTAGGCATTAGAAGGTATGCCTTCATTGTCAAGTTAAGAAGGGAGTTTGCATTGCCTAGATGCTTCATAGTGTAACACCTAAGGGGAAGTTATGTTTGCATGAAAAATCATATATCTCATATTGTAATTTAGAGATAATTTTCTATAGTTGTGATACTATAATAACAAATAGGGTAGTGGTGATTTTCATGATTTCTCTCTTATTCTACAAATTCTATTGTGAGAAATATATATGTCACAATCTTATATTATAACATTTTTGTAAAACTATGCTCAAATTGCTGCTTTGTGATTCTAATAAGATGTTGCATTAAAAAGGACAGTTTTTTTAAAAGGTATATTGAGATGGATTTGAATTTGTTTGTACAATGCAAGTTAATAAAGATATTCAGATTATTTAATATTTCACTTTTATTTGGTCAGGTCACCTGATGTAGTTCTACGTTCAGACTCCAGTAAAATAGTGTCACGTGTTCTCACTATTTACCGCGCGGCCCGACAACCCTGACCCGGAACGGAGGCAAGATTGTTATGTTCGCGTGTTGCTAGGTATTGCTCGGTATTTTCTCTATATTGGTCTATTTTGCTCGGCTCTAGAGCAATACCGAGCAATACACGAACATAGCAATCCTGGATCAAGTCGTCGGGCCGCACGGTATTGAGTAAGACCACGTGGCGACATATTATTGGCGTCCGAACATAGAGCTACGTCAGATAACCTGACAGCCTCAACAACAAAAAATTCTCCCTTGTAGGAAGATTTTAAAATTTAGAAAGCATGATATTTTCAAATTATTTAAGGAAAGCTTCTTAATTGAGGCCAACAAATTCATGTTGTTCTATGGATGATGAGCATGATAACAGGAATGAAGCACAGATTAACTGTTGGGATCCATATAAAAGGTAGTGCTTGTCATTTTATTTCATGCAAATTGAATAGAGTTCACACATTTTTTTTTTTCCTTTTTTTAATACTTTGAAAGTAATGAATTATCAATCTTAAAATATGAGCTCTAACAGGAGACCACCAATCCTTTCATAGTATTCACATTTCATAGTTCATGCTCCACTTTTTTTGAGAAAATTTTCTAGTAAAAAATCATTTAAAAGCAGCAAAAAATGATAACAAAAAAATGTTCCAAGTTATATTCATGTTTCATTATATAAGAATCCTGATCTCCTATAGCTAATGAGCAATCGTTGAGGTTTAATTATTGAATCATATATGTTTAATTTATTTTCTATGCTTGAGATTCATTTCACTTATCAAAATAATATAAAAAATCAAGATGAATTTGAATCTTAAATTTCATTTGGAACAATTTCTTGACTGTTTCTTAAAACAACTTTTTAATATAAAAATTAAAAATTTTGCAATTAAAAATTACTTTTAAAAAGCATTTAGAAAACCGTCCCAAATGAAATCTTAATCTTAATCACACAATAAATCTGATAATTAAAAAATAACAACTGCCCAACTTTCTAAAGCAAATTTTTAACACATTTTTTTAATTAAAAAATAAATTAAAAAAATAAAAAATTATCCAAATCAAAGCCAAAGTAGTTGAATAAAACAAGAAAAATAACTGTTACAAAAGGTGAAAGAAGATACAGCAGCAACGAAACATCATGCAAATCCTCCCCTTTGTAAACTTGGACTTTAGTTGAACAGTAAAACCAAAATGTAAGTGTTCGAAATTATATATAGCTATAGCAGAACAGTAAAACCAAAGCGTAAATTGCATCCTTATTTGTCATAAATAAACATATAAGAAATCCACTTTCAACTTATATATAAGCTATAATTATTCATCTTTCTCTCCGGTAATAAGAGCCTTGAAATTCGATTGAGGCTTCCTGTTCAGCTCTCTATCATCCAAAGAAGCCAGTCAATATCAGAAGAACATAGAAAAGCAAGAGTTGAATAAAAAATTACCATTCCGGAAGTATTGGAGAAGTGGATCTCATTCAATAAAGGCACAGAGATCCTCCAGCGACTGCTCCAGGTCATACTGATTCTGCCTCAGGATCTCCTTATTCAAATCAATCTGCTTGAAGCCCATCTCCTCTAGCTCTCTTAGTAAGGTTTGCTCCACCATGTCCTCTTTGGCGAGAGCATCAGATGGAGTATCAATTAGAGGATGATAACTAGCAGGTGGTAAAGATTTTGAAATATCAATATAAGGATTTGAAATTTGAGATGCAGCTGGCAGAACTGGCTTAAACATTTTCACTGATAAATTGTTTGAATCCAAGGGCTCGGGTTCGCCGACATCCACGACGACTTTATTGTTCTGCTGACTGCTTTTAGTGGGCAAATTCATGTTGAGAAAAGCAGAAGCCCGTTGGTGATGATCGTCAACCTGTGTTAATACAATTGCATGCAATTGTCAAGTGGATATATAATCATGGGCGGACCCCCCATATGTGTTGAGGCGGGGGGCGGAGGCAAATGCCCACTCACAAAAAAAAAAAAATTGAGGGGATATTTTGAAATATTTTGGGTATTTTGGATATTTTGCCCCCTCTTAAAAAAATTGTCCCCCTAATTTTATCAATCTTTCGCGTCCTTGCTCATCCCCCACAAAAATTTTTTTTTTTATCCATTCTGAAAAATGAAGCTTGATCCGATCATGTATATAATCTGCTAAACTTTAAAATAGAAAGATCTAGATTTTTGTCACAGGATAGGAAAATGGAAAGGGAAAGTTTTGTATAAGACCTGGATAATGACCCAAACCTCCTGCCCAAACTTTTGCCCAAAAGGGGATAACATCTGCCAGTATGACATGTATCGACCTGGTACTGATGGTGAAAAAAAATCAACTGCAATGTCAAGTTCCTCATCCACTGGCAATCCTGTCTCAGGAATCTGCATATGTTAGAATTAATATCAATAATTCATCAAAAGCAAATTTTAGTAAACATAAAAGAAACGCTAAATTGAATCAGTTCAACTAAAGTATGAATGCTCAACCTTCAATATGGCTGAGTCATGGCCCCCTAAGTAGTCTCCTCTAAGCCTTACAAGTTGTGTTCCAAATGGCCAGGAAATTGTGCCATTGTTGCGCATCTTCCATATTTTCGTAAAGCGAGAACAAGGGCCGATCACAGTTCCATCCCATACAGTTACATCTCTGATGAAGCAACTATCAAGTTTTGGTATGGGCGCCTTCATCCAATTAGGGGAAGCAAGTGTTGAAGGAAGTTGGCTACCATACTGCTGGAATAAGAAGAAATACTGCAGTCACACAGAGTGCCAAATAGTTGTGTAAAATTGATAAATCATGAGCGTGCAAATTAATCATCTTACAAGCTTGTGTTGGTCTTTCACCGCTTTAGGGAATTGGAAATCAGACCAATCGATTCTCATGTACTCAGTCTCACTGCCCATATCTCGGAAACAAGTACTGCATAAATCATAATTTTCAAACCTGAAGAGGGAAAAAAAAAAAGCATAGTGAGCCAAGCTGTGCAGACAAGAGGAAAAAGTAGATTGACAGCAGAAATATAGCAAAAGAATGACAATAATAAAAGCGGATGTAAGATAAGCAGCTACTTACACAGTAGACTTGTATCTTGGCCCCACAATAGGGTGCATCCCACATCCATCACATATGATACCCCTGTGGAAAGGACGTGGCATGCTATCAAGAGAGCTAGATGACCTTTCACAAGGGTGCAGCATTGGAGAATGGAGAGGAAATGCAGTTGAAGAAGCAAATGTCCTGTTTCCTATGGCATCAACATGAGAAGTGGAACCATCTTGTTGTTTGAAAGAGAAAATTGAATCAAAAGGACGTCCAGTAGTAGTATCACAGGGAAGCATATTGGCTCTGGAATTTCCATGCAAAACGTTTGGAGCAATGTTGGGGTTTAGCTTGTCAAAACTTTCCATGAAATTATTATCAACCAGAGTAGTAGTTGACAAAGAAGGAAGCTTAGCAGCAGCAGCCATGGGTTTCCCATCACGAAAAACATCACATACTTCCTTTTGTTCCTTGCTTATATTCTGATCAAAAATTACAGGAGCATAGGTTATGCATCGCAAACATTGCTTTGAGTGGTCAATTTCATCCGTCTTTTGAATATTTTCTGGAATTGGACTAACAAAGTTAGTCTGAGGCTTGTGATTTGAAACTGTTGGTTCATTACCAGTATTAGAGTATACTAGACCAGGAGTTCCACAAGAGATGCCCACTGGGTTGCCAGTAGACTTGTGAGAAGATTGGGAGACTTTTGTTAGTTGCTTCTTGGATAAGAGTGTCAAAAGTTCACTAAGCATAGGTGTGGTTGATGCAGTTTGTATCACCTCATGAAAAATATTTGCAAGGGCTCGAAGAATTGGCTCAGGATCCGACTTCGGAGAGCTTTCAACAGTAGGATTCAGTCCAGTTGCAAGTTGAGAAAACCTGTCACAAGCTGAAATTGCTTTATCAGATCCAGTATCAGAATTTGAATCAGAATTTTTCACCGGACTTTTTCCTGAATAAGAACCATTGGTTGAATACGATTTTATCTGAACATTTATCCTTAGAGGGTTTAAACTCTGATAAAGAACAGCGTCACACAATTCATCATCATTTTCTAGAGCCACCACATCACCATCTTCATCAGTATAGGTAAGTTCAAGAACTGCATCAGGACTAAACTTGAAGAGACTTGATATTTTAGCTCTCAGTTTTGTCATGTCATATTCAAATAACATATATTGTTGACGCATGTGGGCATTGAATCGCCTGAGATTATCACCATGGTTTACCTGGCAGTGAAAAGAAGTAGCTTAAAAAGTTGCAGCCAAAAGTCACGGATCTCATAAAATAATAAGATGCAACATACGGTTAAGGTTATAGATTCCAAGAGAACGGTATCCCTTCAAAAAGCTAGCAAGTGAAACCACATTTAGTATGTTGACGTCTATCAAAGAGGGCGGTTGCCCATTAAACAAGGATTACTTTTAATTTGAAAGCCAAATTCAAGGGGAAAAGAAGCGGCAAAGTTAGTATTTGAATGCTAAGGCATCTGAAAGATGTTAGATTGTTTATTTTATATACCTCATAGTAACACCAAAAAAAAAAAAATTAGTTTTTACACATCCATCTTAATATTTTAATGTGCTCAACTTATCCATCAATAACATTTTTTTTTATCGATCAATAACTTCTTTCCTAACAAACGCTCTCAAGCAAGAAAGCCGGTTCAGTTGTAATTTTATAACCTTTAAATCTCGATAACAATATTCCTTTATCAGTTCCAAAGGCACTTTTTTATTTTAATAATTCAATCTTAACTCTTAAAATTACATTTATCATAATTTCATCTATATTCCAATTCTTCTACATGATAGATTTAAGATATACCTAAACCTATTATACCTCGATTTACTTTTATCTTCTAGTAACATTGAAATTACATATTATATATTTTATACTAATCATAAGCTTTGTATATTTTATACATTTTCAAGCAAAAGAAGCTCAATTAGAAGAATACAGATCACTCTGTCACACCAAGTTTCTATGACGACAGCTTGAGTCGCTCTGGAGATAACAAGTCATGAAAAAAGAGAATAGGAAGACAACTATAAGAGGAGAAGGGCTTCTTTGTATAAGCAATTGTATTTCACCTTGAGTGCTTCTTTTCATAAAAAGAGATCCTTAATCATTGGATTGAAGGAGACATGGTTTAAAATTAAGCAATATGAGGCTCGCCTTTGCGCAATTCCAATAAAAAACGCCTCGATGCTTACGCCTCGAGTTTTTTTTATGAGGCTTGCGCCTCAACTTGGTTGAGGCCCGCCTCGCCTCACTGGCATGAGGCTTACGCCCCACGCAATATATATTAAAACATACATAAATCTTGAAGTAAATGCCCGACATTGGACTCTATAGGAGGGGAGGAAGGGGAGAGAGCAGTTCATCATAATGATGATTTAAATGAAGAACTCCTTAGTGATGACAGTGCTGATGAGTTATGAGTTCTTATGTGATATGTCAGTGCTATTTATTTTTGGAAATTGGAATTATATGTTAATGAAAAGAATACTGGGATTTGGGAAAGATATAATTTTGAGTTGAACTATATTTTATGTTGTCTTATTATTGGGATATTTTGATTTCACTTTATATCTTATGTTTTTTTATGTTTTATATTATTCACTCATTAGCATATAAAAAATTTAGCATTTTATGTTTACGCAATCTTTTGATTTTGAGGCTTACGCCTCAAAACGCCTTGAGGCTTACGCCTCGCCTCACGAATGAAAAACGCCTCAATACCCGATAACGCAATTTTAAACATTGGAAGGAGAACGAACATTCATGAAAAGATCCAAGATTCTCTCATCCTTACAGACTTGGTTAAATTAAATTCAAATTCAAGCATAACCAATATGAAACGAAATTTTATAAAACATAGAAATACATGAAGGCGTCCACTTAGTCCAAGCAAAGTTAGATAAGAATTCGTGTCAGGAAACAGTGCATTTTTTATTATTTAACTTATTACTTATCTAACAGAAATCTCTCCCTAAATAGAACCATATAATCTCTAAAAAAAATATACATTGGCTACCTTACTTTGAATATAATTTATAATCTCCCAAATTTCCCTATATATAGGGCTGTTTGCTGCTGTTTTAGAAGGTTTTTTTGGAGATGAATATTTGGAATATATAACCTACGGGTTATCTAGCTTGGGAGCTATCTTCCTCTACCCTACTTCTAATTCGTCTTAGACTTCTACCTACTTCTTCTCTCCAAGGTTTCCACTCCACATGTATCCTTCTGCTTAAGCTTTTATAAGTTGTAGCGTGTCTTTGTTTTTAATAATATTGTTATCTTGTTTATGTTTGTCTATGTTTTAAGGAAGAAAGTTGTCTCTTAATTTGCAATCTTAGCGTTATATTTATCTATGTTGTAAGAAAGAAAGATTTGTATCTTTGCACTATTTCCTATCGCATCAGCACATCACAATGATTAGAAGACCACAACAATTAGTTTTATTTTGGATTTGTATTAAATTCCTTTCTTGAAAATTTTCCTTATTAGAGAGTCCCTCTAAATATCATTATTTATTTACACTTTTCTTATTAATAGAGGTCCCCTCAATATAATAAGGTTAAGGTTGGGTGCACAAGATTTTCAAGATTAAATAGTTAAAGCAAGTTGCTTAATCCTCTCCCACCCTTCTAATTGTCCTTTATTTTAAGTCTAGACCAATCTCTTCCTCTCTCCCCCTCGGTTTCTCTCTACTAAATTGATTCCTCTCTCCCCTTCTTGGTTTCTCCCTCCTAAATTGATTCCTCCATTCTCCGTATGTATCAAGGAACTATAAAGAATCATATGTTTCCAAATCCGCATTACTAGTATCTAAAAAGATCCATTTAACATTCTTTCTTCTATTCAATTTCTGCCCCAATTTTTCATGCAAATAATATCCTATTACATGGACTTCTAAGTCTGCTACCTTGGATTCTATGTATTCACCCATGTTTTTCCATTTCCATTAAAAATTTCTAATATTTCATTTCTTCTCTCAATTCTTGAAAACTCAATTATTTTAATGCATAACATTATTTTTGCAAAAATATAAATCATACAATTCAAGTTCTACTATAATAATACCTCCCTCAACTCAGACCAAATTCTCAATTTCCTTTTTGTTTCCTCTAAATCCCTTATTTTTTCCTTCTTATATACCTTCATAAAATCCTCCCTAATTAAAATCCTAGTCCAAATATTTCAAAACTCATAATTAAACCAAAGTAATTTCTAAACCACCCTCATACACGGCTAATCCTCGTGCAGGAATATGTCCCCCTTCTTCAATTCCTTCCTACTTAAACCTCATCCCCTTCCCCACCTAATTTTGGAACTAACAATAGAAACATTTCCTAAAACAGACAACATACTCTCCATATTACTCCCAAATCCTAAAATAATCCCACCATAACCTAATCTACTAATCCACAATGAGTATACTATGACATCATATTACATAGGCAATCAAAACATAATCTATGGTGATCATAATGTTGTGCATTATCACTACAACAAGTATCTGAAATATTCATATTATTCATGTATCTATCATAAGACCTGCATCACTACTCTTCAGTTGAAGATATGAATGGGACATATGTGGCATTTATTAACTATCATCATTATACATATCATACCATCATGCAAGCTATTATGGATCGCATCATATTCCATTTGATCCCAATAGCAAAAATTAAGTTGAGCAATTGCCACCTAAATCTTTTTATCCATCTTATTATTATACATATGATTCCCACACTTTGAATAAACACCTCCAAGTTCAACATTTGGTTCGACTTATTCTAACCCGAATTGAAAAAGATAAATGTTTGAACTTTTTATATTTTGAACTCTTTTGCATGCTTTTGGAAGTGATATGTGTGTATGGAAAAGGTCTGCATCAGCTTTGGAGTGGGTTCCAAGGGTTTGAATGCATATTGAAAAAATCTAGAAAATTTCCCTTGGAGCGCCTAGGGTGTTATCTCGTATAACGCCGCAATGTTGTGGGCTATGGCGCCTAGGTACTTAAAAGTGGCGCCTCGACATTGTGCTCTTGGATTTTAAAAAAATGAACTAGCGTCGTAGCATTAGACCATTATTAGCATTTTTCTATATTTTAAATTCCACTATTCCATTCATTTAAACATTTAAGCAGTCGACATTGGAGAGAGGAGGGGGTTTTTGAGGGAAAAGAAGGGATTTTGAGCCGCTTCGGGTAGTTTTTAGCTATCGGCCTAATTCAAAAAGTTATCTAGATTGAGGTAGGTGACATTATGATTATCTCAATATGATATTTTTCTGAATTTTCTGATTAAATTAATATTTTCATTACCAAAATACAAGAATAATAATTTTTCATTGGTGAAATTTTTACTGCATAACTTTTTATATATTATATAGATTAAGATTATGAACATTTTGAATCTTTTCTAAAAAAAATTATACAGGGAGTTTTGGAATTTACTTGATTTTTATTGTAGAAAATAATCTAGACTTTGAAAAATATGTTGTAGTAAGATTAAAGTCTTAAAATGATATTTTATATAATCTTTAGAGATAGGAGTAGTAAGGATTTAGTTCAAGTGAAGTGTATTAAAGATGAAGATCAAAAAATACTTTTCTTAGAAGATGATATTCAAGAAAGATGGATGAGATATTTTGCTAAACTTTTTAATGAAGATTGTGAAAATAAGATTGACTATAGTGACCTTAGCACCCTAGATGAAAATAAAGATTTATATTTTTATCGGCGTATTAGTAAAATTGAAGTTAGAGAGGCTTTAAAGAAAATGAAGGGTGGAAAAGCTGTTGGACCTGATGATATTCCAATAGAGGTGTGGAAATGCTTAGGAGATGAAGGAATTTCATGGCTTACTAAACTTTTTAATACTATTTTGAAGACTAAGAAGATGCCAGATGAGTGGAGAATGAGTGTGTTAATTCCTATTTTTAAGAATAAAGGTGATGTACAAGATTGTGCGAATTATAGAGGTATTAAGTTAATGTGTCATACTTTAAAACTATGGGAGCGAGTTTTGGAGCATAGGTTGCGGCGTGATACTAATGTTTCTCAAAATCAATTTGGATTCATGCCGGGTAGGTCGACTATGGAAGCCATACATTTATTAAGAGGTTTGATGGAGAAATATAGAGAAAATAAAGAGGATCTACATATGATATTTATTGATTTAGAAAAAGCATATGATAAAGTTCCAAGAGA